GCAGATAAACCCAATAAGTAAGGAAGTTATTACTTATTTGTTTATCTGATAACGAAAATTCAAAAAACAAATGTTCACTGAGGTATTTCTGGATAAACCTTTGCTATTGCCTATTGCTAGCAACAAAAGTATAACCTAATATTGCTGTTAGTCTATGTACTGAAAGTATAAAATGAAATCTATAAACTATAAAAAATATTTCTTGATTTCTTAATTTAGAGTTTCGGTATATTAAACAGGTTTGTTTTTTATTAAAAACACTGATGATATACACGTAAAATACCTTAATTCAGAAACGATTTAAGTTTAAAATCAAGCGTGACATGATACACACTGGCTTTTATATAAGTTAGATAACGTGATGTATAGTTGCACCTATAATTATCTATAACATGGTCATCTAGAATATGTCAATCTAATAACCCAACTTTAGCCAGGTACTTTCGCTAGTCTATAATAATAAATGGGCGGGAATGTGTGTGACCACCATAACTCTAAGATGAAAGAACCTAGAAGCCTGAAATTTTGCACACATAGTAAGTAGAGAGTGTGCACCTGGGTATTATTACTTATCCACGTGCATGCGCGTCTTTTTAACGAGGAAAACTAGTGAAAAAAAACACATAGAAAAGAAGTGTGACTGCCATAGCTACAAGTGAAAAAAACCTAGACACCTTAAATTTTGCACCCATACTGAGGATGTGCACCTGGGTATTACTTGTCTTATTCACATGCTTGCACGATGTGCATCTTTTCAATGTGACAAGCTAGTGAAAAAACACAGAAAAGGTTTGACTATCTTAGCTCCAAGGGGAAAGAATGCAGACACTTGAAATTCTGCACCCTTATTAAGTGAATAATGAGGGTCTGTTCCTGGGTATTATTACTTATCTGCGTGTGTGTATAATGAAGCAAGCTAGAGAAACAACACATAGAAATGAAGTGATTCTTTATATTATAAATAGAAATCACAGGCAGTCAGACAGACACACACGTGTGGGCACATCTTTTTATGAGGCAAGCCAGCAAAAAACCACATAGAAAAGAAGTGAGACTATGGTTACCAAGACTTTGATTTATGAATGAAATTCTCTGAGGTACTATCTAGTCCATAATAATCAGCAACATTAGTAGGAACTTTACAGTGTACCAACAGTATCTTCTTAGTTGCCAAGTCAAGGAGTATTATTTCTCTCAACAATAGCAGAATCGACTTTTTGTGTAACAGTGATAGTTTTTTTTTTTCCAAAACACTGATTATACTGTTCCTTTTAACAATATCGGTACCACGTTTTTGGTGTATCAGTGACACTTTCTTAGCTATCTAATAATGACTATGGTTTTTCCTAATAACATTCAGTATGAATGTTTGTTTTATCAATGGCATTCTAGTTTTAGTTACCAAATCAGTGAACACTGTTTTTCTCAACATTGCGATGGGGTGAATAAGTTGATCATTCAGAATCTATACTGTTTCAATAATTGTATCAAACATTAGTTAATGGTGTATTTCCTTATATTACAAATAGAAATCACGGACATGCGTATGCACATCTTTTTAATGAGTCAATCTAGCAAAAAACCATATAGAAAAGAAGTGGTTCCTTATAATATATAGAAAAGCCAGTGCGTTTTGATAGCAATGCGTTCAAACAATGGTTTTTATGTCATGTTGCTTAGCAATAATAGTATAACCTAGTATTGTTCTTAAGAGGGTATATGCTGAAAGAATATAATGAAATGTATAAACTACAAAATTTAAAAAAATATTTGTTGTTTTCTAATTTAGAGGCTCCATTAATCAAAGAGGTTTGTTTTTATTATTTAAGTTTAAAATTGGAGGACAAGTCAGAAGGAAGGTTACCTTTATAATCAGGAACATCCCATAAAAGACCAACAAAAGTATATAGGTTATACTTTTATGCTAAAATGGGTTAAGAATACACACACTCTGGCCCAGCATGGCCAGGTGGTTAGGACGCTCGACTCACAATCTGCGGGTTTCGGATTCGCATCCCCATCCCACCAAACCTGCTCGCCCTTTCAGCCGTGGGGGCATTATAATGTGACGGTAAAAAAGTAGCCCAAGAGTTGGC